GTCCATGCACTGAGATAAGAGTGATGGTATATTGAAAATGTGGGATCTAAGCATGACGTGAATGGTATGGAATAAGGGGTGGATAATGTCCTGGGTTCAGCAGTAGCAGTCATTTTTCTCCTCCTTAGTAGCCTCTGCAGTGCAGTGTTTTGACTTTCAGCTCGGGAACTGAGGTGATAACAATGATGTTTTGCTTTGGCCAAGGACTTTGTGAGCCTCATGCTCTGCCAGGGAGGAGGGGAAGCCAGGAGGAAGCAGAAACAGGACACCTGACCCAAACTGACCAAAGAGGTATTCCATACCACAGCACGTCATGCCCAGGATGTAACTGGGAGTTAGCTGGAAGGGCTGGGAGACTGCAGGGTTGGAGGAGGTATGGGTCAGTGCTTGGTTCCTTGGAGAAGGAAAATGAACATAATGAAAGGAGGACAAAAAAAGACCTTTTTGTGACCAGAACAATTTCTCTGCATCCACGAGTATTCCCATCCAAAATCACTGTTAGAAGTGTCCTGGGTTCAGCAGTAGCAGTCATGTTTTTTCCTTTGTGGTAGCTGGTGCAGTGCTGTGTTTTGACTTCCAGCTTGAGAACAGTGTTGGTGAAGCCGATGTTTTCAGTTGTTGCTAAGTGATGTTTACCCTGACCAAGGACTTTGTGAGGCTCATGCTCTGCCAGGGAGGAGGGGAAGCTGTGAGGAGGCAGGGACGGGGCGCCTGACCCGGGCTAGCCGGGGATGTGCAGGGCCTGGATACCAGTGGCAGAGAGGACAAGGATAGCTGCTGGCAAAAGGGAATATTCTGCTCCACACACGTTGGGGGAAAGACCCATGGCAGGGTGTGTCCCTGGGGGTACTGAATAACCCCCAGGAAGAAAAATCCCTTTCTCATGACAAAGTCAAAGTTTTCTTGTCACATACATGCTACTATAACTATGACCTTTGGTAAAGCAGTACAGCAGGGACAGGGGCAGCACTGAGCAGGACTGTGCGCCAGCAGTCACCAACTCTTTGCATGGAAACAAGACCCCAGGAGCCCCAACCCTCTTGTGCTGATGCTCCTTTTTTACAAATTCATTTTGTTCTCTGCAGCTCGGATGACCAGGGTCACACCAAAGTCCTCTTCTGCTTCTCCCCTGCCACGTCGCAGGGTCTTCAGCCTGGGCAAACCTGCCACAGGATGCGTGATGGGACCCTCTCCCTGTTAACTGGGCTGGTTGGTGAGGATAATGCCACCACACGTGCTCGCTTTGAGACTGTCTGTCTGAAATTCCCTGAACGACAATCTCAGTCTCTAGCGGTCAAATTTAAATACAGTATTTCTTATGAATGGAAAATAAAAGGAGGAGGTAGGAACAAAATAGTTTGCCCTTTGTATCTGTTCATACAGCTGTCTGGAGATGAGCTAGGAAGGGATGCTAGGTTTAGTTACAGTCTATAAAAATACCTTGCATTTTAATATGTTTTTCCTTTGCTATCCCTTTGGTCTTTTCCCAACCCTGCAATGTGCGGCCCACATCAGATAGTAGATCACAGAGGATAGAAAGAAATGGCTGTGGATTTTTTTCCTCACCTCTTGTCATTTTTATACCTGGCCACTGCTAAATAGGGGCGCTCACAAGTGGACACATGCTTCTGTTCCAAATGAGACATGTGCTTCAGGTACTTCTTTTTCAGAGTGTTCTTCTGAGCGGTATCCTAACAAAAGAGCATCTCTCAAATAACAGCTAAACCTTGTGAGTGAATTCATGTTTGCCATGGCTGACTGAGCACCAGCATCCCTTTCGAGCCTAGAAGAGCCAACACTGCTTTGGCAACGCTGCACAAGAGGCACCTCCTTCTCTTGCCTCCCTCAGAAAGGAGCTGGCTATGCCCAGGGCCAGGGCCTCCAGCTGGGGCCATCCTGGCTGGGTGGAGTATGGTTACCTGTGGCAGAATATGGTGGTGGAAAACCCACCCTTGAGATCCCAGCACCGATCCTTGAGATCCTGGATTTAGCTGGTGGGAATAACATTTGTGAAAAAAAAAAAGCCCTACGTGCCTATTTGCAGACTCAAGGTAGATGGAGGGAAACCTCTGAGACTGTGAGTTATTGCACAGTCTGAACCTGGCCACACCAAGGAGGCACCACAGGGTGCCCGGAAGGAAAACAGTACAGGATTTTGTGATTCACTTAGCTCCCCTGTTCTGAGGACACTGAAAGGGGCAGGTGAAGGGCAGCCTGCTCTTCGCACACAAATAGCATGCCAGCTATTTTTAAAACAGGAGACATTCCCTTGGTCCTCTGTCAGATGACTCTTGGACATATCCTTTGTTACATGGGATACCATCCCTTCTTTTCCATCATGGCAAACATCTTTAAGCAGTCTGTGTGAAGGTCCTTTACTTCGTGTTGGTCTTTTGCTGACCTCGCATTCCAAAACATTCCTATCCCTGAAGGACCCATAAGTTGACACGTATGCAGTTGAGCTGTTCTTTTAGCAATAACAATGATAATGACAGTAAACCTGAATGAGCCGTTTTTCCTGGGATGTGTTGTGAAGGAAATGAGCTATTTAATTACATGTGCGGACGGAGGGTCAAAAAGAAAGAAAGAGGCTAATACATAGAGGAGACAAAACCGCAGAAGATGCATTCTGTCAGGGCAGGGGTTCATGGTATTTGAGGAATGATTTGTCTAGCTTAGCAAATTCAGAATGGCACTGTGGCTGGAAGGCTTCAGGCATGCTTTCAAGGGAAAAACTGCCAAAAATGTCATGCAGCACTGAAACATTCCTAAAGCAGACAGATAAAGAAAATCTTGTGTTTCTGTTGTTTAGAGCTCTTAGGCAGCTTCCAGTGGTGCTACAGACTTCTTCCCCGTGCCTGCAGGAAAAGCTGGTCCTAACTTGCACTACTGAGATAAACAACTCTCAGTCCTTTGGTATGGACAGTGGTAAGGCCAAAGCTACCCTCAGTTTAGTTGCGTGCTTTATCGTAGCAGCTGTCGGTACTCTCATTGTGAGCGTGGATGCCCAGCAACCTCTACACATACCAAACCTCTCTTCTTTACCTCATTGACTCTTCTATAGCAGGTTTCCAAGAGGTGCCATTAATCAGTTGAGTGCAATGCTTAGGTGAGTAATCTGAGAGATGTTGTGCTACCCTCAGAGAGGCATACAGAATCCTTAGGATTAGGTGATGCCACTACACATCTGCTATTCATCATAACAGATGACAGATCCGGAACATTTTGATCTCTTTCCAGTGTGAGTGTGGATCTTGGAGAAATCTGTTGAAGCCAGGGATGTTCCAGTGGCATGAAATAAATGACAGAGGATAAATAACACGGTCAGTATGCTTCTGACAGATTCTCACCAAGCACAAATAGGTGATTTTTTTCTGTTTCTCATTTCACTGGGGACTGGAGTAAAGGTGTTCGTACTATGCAAAACCTAAAAGTGCTTTGAAGTGCGGCTCTAAGTGCTCTCCCCCCCGCCCCCCCCCCCCCCCTTTCTTTCTTTTTTGTTCCTTATTTTCTGGTATTGTACCTTTTTTCACGTGGGGTTTTTTTGAGGACTTCCCAGAGGAATCCAACCCAGAGTAGGGAGGCTCCTCGTGGATGTCATAACCTCTTTTTTCTAATTTATCTGTTTTTAAAACAATTCTGCCTTGGAGACAGTTTCTTCTATTATAAGGGGTGTGGCCAATATATATGAAAATGATAACAGTTAACGTTAATCTAGTGGTGAAGAAGAAACTAGATCAAGTTAGATGTCAGTATAACTTCAGTGACATCACCAGCATTTACTGCTGTGATCTGAACCAGGACCAAAGGTTCTGTCACCCTTGAACAAAACAAAGGGATTTCTCTGCTCCCAAACACAGCTTTGATAGGCTTTAGCTTCAAGGTTTCTCTGTGCCACCCATGCTGCTAACAGCCTGGCAGGATATGTGCCCCGATCTTCTTCAGCAGCTGTTAATACAGTTTCATCAGCCATTCCTGCTTTAGGACCTTGGCGTAACCTATTTATAGACTGTGGTTTTCCAGAAACTCCTTTTGGAGTGTTTTTTACGAGCTGCTGTGAAAACCCCAAGCAACCACAGATAAAAAAAATGAACGGCTTCAAGACCTCTACCAGCCACATTGGCAAATGATAGCTGTATTCCATAAGTCATTTTTAATTTCTGTCCTTCAGTTTTCCTATAACAAGTCTTCTGCATTCTTGCCATTAATAGGCAGAAAATAACTATCTGCAGGTGACGTATTTTGTAAAAGACTTCAGTCCCCTCTTGTAGATTTAGTCACTGCCACACTTTTCTCCCTTAGAAACACTCTCCTTCGCAGTACATATTTGCATCATTAATTTTGTGTAAGTTGTGAGGCATCCCTTCACATAACGGGAACGGATTGCTTTGCCTGTGTTCATGCAAGTATGTGTAACAAGCGTAGGGGATTTCTAGCTCCTCCGTGTCAGAAGGCAGTGTCTGCAGTCCACAAAATACTGGGCACGTCAAAAGAGCTGGGAGGTGTGATCTTTCTGTCAAAGGGCGTCAGATCAGCCAGTGCAAGGAGGCAGGGAATTCATCCAAAGTGGGTACATGCAACGGGTCTTCTTTCAGTCAGAGACAAGCCTCCCATGAAAACCCAGAGCTGGCCACTGAAATCAGTCCCAGCCTGCAGCAGAGATTTGTGTCAACACTTTTATCTCTAGTTTCACTATGGCAAATCTTATGCTATTTTATCAACTTTTGAAAGAGAGAGCCTTCACAACGATCTTCCTTTCAGATGTGGATTTTTATGGGTTTTGTTTGGTTTTGGCTTTGCTTTTCTGGTCCAGAGCGTAACTGGGGCAATCCCGGGAAAAAAAAAAAAAAATCTCATTCGTTCATTTACGTTGGGCTTCATCCCATAAAAAAGGAGAAAGTTATGCTGCTTCTGTTACATCAGTACTGAATCTCTTCCTTAATGACATAGCTGGTGGGATTGAGGGTGCCCTTAGCAAGTTTGAAGGTTCCACCAAGCTGAGCGCTTGGAATTTTTGGCCAAACACAGGTGGTGCTGTGAGGTGGTGGGTCCCTGCAGCCACGTGTGACGTCACATGACATCACAGTGGGATACCCACAGCACAGCAAAACATTCTGTGCCCACTTTGGTAACTGGCCACATTGCCCAGGGAGGCCTGGACAACGCCGGGGCTGCTCTTGCCAGCACTCTGATCCGCAGGAGCTGCCCAGCTGCACCGAGGAGGCGAGGGGAGGCTGCGGGAGAGCGTGGCAGAGTGACACGCAGTGAAGTGCTGAGGAGAGAAGCCCAGCAGTTCTGCAGCAGGAACAGCACCTCTTGCCCAGCTGCTGCCGAGCAGGGGGGGCAAGGATGATGAAGTATCTGCTCTTTAAAGACTTGGGGCCTGATGACCTCCCAACCCTGAAGCAGCTGACCACCAATGGTAAGGCCCTGGCAGTGCTCTTCCAGGAGCGCTCTCAGAGCCAGGATGATGCAGAAGCCCTGCGGATAATGTGGAAACTCTAAGGCTGGGGTGTAGCAGGGTCTTCTGGAGGGGACCGGTGGCTGCAAGGAGCACCCTGCCTGCAGGTGCCCTGGGCCTTGGGAGTGGCTTTGGCAGCCCAGGCGTGTAGCCACTGACTGTGTCAAAGGGCAGGATCCCCTTCCCCAACACACTCCAGATGTCTGACATTCCTGTCCTGGGCACAGGGCGGACAGCTTGGAGGCTGGGGGCTGTCAAGAACACATCTGGGTAGCCCCACCGGTGCAAGTGATTGCTCAGGGCGAGAGGTGCTGCCCTGCACTCACTCCACTGCACTACTCAGTGGGTAGGGGTGCTGGATGTTGGCTGTTGCTGACTCAGTGCATGGCATTGCCTTTCCTTTGCTTTGTAGAAATCTGCAAGATATGGGCTGGCACATCTAAGTACATCCGGAAACAGCTCTTAGAGAAGAAGGTGAGCTTTGCCTCCTGCCCATGCCCCCTCCTGCCCCTCCAGGTCCCCAGAGCAGGGGCTCTGGTACCATCCCCAGGGGTACACGAGTCACCGAGCAGCCTTCCCACTTCTGCACACTCTGCCAGTGCTCCCTCTTCTTGCTTGTGTTTTCAGGCAGTGGATATCGGAATTGGAACATTTGCACTTGTCCTCGTGCATGCCAGGGTGGGAGAGGACAAGGTTTTGCCTGTTGAGAGACCTGTGTTCCAGCTGTGCCGGTTTATGAAGATGTTTTACAAGCTGAAGTGTGCAAAGACCAAAATTCCTAGTAAGATGACGGGTGTTTCCTCTGTAGAGCCCTTGCATTTGTCTTGGTGCTCACATCTCTGTGACATGGCTTAGCAACGGCTCTTCCAAACCGGAGAGAGCTGAGCGTGGGCACATGTACGGCAGCCCGGCACCCTGCCTCTCCCTGGGAAGCCAGCCTCTCAGCTCACACTACACTCCAGCTGGTTGCTCGCAGCAAGAGGCAAGGCCTCTCTGTGCCTTCTGTTCCTCAGGTCCATGCTGGATACATGGCCAAAGCTGAGAGGGGACTGCGCTCTGGCAGAGTGTTGCCCGAGGGATGGGCACAGACAGCAGGCACTGAGCTGAACTGTGGTGGGAGTCACTTGGTTGCTTTGTGCTTGTTTCCCAGAAGAGACACCATTCGTTCAGCTGGACTTCAAGCAGATTGGGGCAGACACGCGCTTCCGCCCAGGAATCGTGGAGCAGTGCATACACGAGACCCTGCTTTTCTTTGCTGGGGCCATCCGAGACAAGAGGGAGGTGGAGTTCTCCTTCAGGAGCATTGGCATCCTTGCTGTGCGAAGAAGTGTGGTCAGCATGACCTTCTTTGAGGACTGCTTGCTGGAGCTGGATGCCACAGGGAACATGGAGGCAGCTCTTCTCGGGGTGAGCTTGTCATTTCTCCAGGACTCCTCTTCATAGCTGTGCTGCAAGGCTGGCAAAGCTGTCTCCTGACACTTTCTCTTGGCTGCCATCACCTTCATTGCCACCTGGCCTAGACACGCTCTTGATGAGCTAGGCCAGTTCTCGGTAGCATCTTGGCCCCTTCAAGGGAGGGATTAATGACATCAAGGCAGAAGGTGGTGCGAGGCTTTCTGAGAGGCAGGCATTGTGTCTGCGGTGAAATGGTTGGCCACCTTTGTGAACAACCCGCACGTGCCCTGGGCGTCTGCTGATGTGCCTCTGTCCCCTTGCAGAACCCCAAGATGATGAAGATAGTGGCCTTTGCTGGCAAAAACAATTACAGCCGGGTCAGTCAAGACGGGGTCATCGTGCTGCCAAGGTGAGCAGAACGGCTTCTGCAGTGGTCAACAGCTTCTGCAAGTGACTCAGCCTCTGCTGTGGGACACTCTCTTGCCGAGGCTCTTCTCCTACCCAACTTAGGCAAGCCCAGTTTCCTGATCCACTCACTGCTCATTCCTCCCTGGCTTGGAGAAGGCAGACAAAGTGGCCAGCCTGCTCTCAATGTGACCTGAGAGAGTGTGAAAGGCAGGCAGGTCTGTGGAGCTGCAGGCAGGGTGTGTGTGATGGGATCATCAGCTCTTTGGCAGGAAGGCAAGGGGAGAAGTGGCAGAGGCTGATGGAGACTGTGGGGCCCTTCAGGTCACACAGAGAGCTGCGTCCTGCAAGGATTTGGCAGTGGCTCTCAACGATGCCTGCCAGCAGCTTACTGGCTTCAGCCCCTAGGGAGCATGAAGCCCTTTCTCCCAGCTGGCGCCTTCTTGTTTCCAGGCTTGTTGTGATCCCCCACCAAGCGTTGGACCGTGCCATGCCTCTGAAGCCCAGGAGAGAATCAGCACCTTGGGGAAAGGGTGCCCGCAGAGGTAATGTCCCAGCCGAGTGCTAGCCGGGTGCCGTAGGTGCTCGTCTCATCCTCATGAAGGCAGGAGACTCAAGCTTGCTGTGTAAGGTGTGGGAGAGAAGAAGGCAGCTCTGGGAGCCTGCACACCCATCCTGGTCCGTGTAGGTGACACCACCTGGAAGCTCTGAGCTGGAGCCACGTGCTGCAAAAGGGGCCTTGCAGCAGCTCTGCCTGGAGCTGTCAGCAGGGCTGGGCCAGGCCCGCATTGCTCTCGCAAGCCATGTGTGTGAATCTGAGGAGGAGGGCTGAGGTACTTGCCACTGCCCAACAGGCCCCTGGGCTTCCCCAGCACTTCTCTGTTCCTCCCAGTGGTGAGTCCCTGCTGCTGGCAGAGGTGCGACAGGGAGCAGGAAATAAAACATGCCCCGCAATGGCAGGTGGCTCAGTGGGAATTCAGAGCTGGAGCAGATCCAGCGTGGGCAAGGGGCCAGGACCTTGGAGCCATGGATACCAGGGGTGGCAAGCACTGTTGGTGAGCCTTGAGTGGCACAACTGATTGGCTCTGCTGCTCAGCTGGCCCACGCAGTCCTAAAGATGCTCTTTGCTCTTCTCTTGCCTCCCACTTGCAGTGAGTGTGCTGGATCCAGTGTTCCTGGCTCAGCAGAGAGTTTCTCTGGCCAGGCTGAAGGATCAGAAAGTTGAACAGATTAAGGCCCTGGAAGCTAGCCGAGCCAGGTGAGCCTCCTGGAGCAGTGTGTGGCTGGGGGTGCAGCGGCACACCGTGCCCTTGTGGTGCAAGAGAGAGGTTTCCCTTGGCTGGGATGCCTGTACTGATGTCAAAAGGCCCGAGCTGTTGTCCTGCTGGACACATGGTCCTCCTGCCGAGCTGCTTGGTGGTGCCAGAGCCAGGCGGCAGGATGAGAGTCCGTCCCAGAGCAACTGGCTCAGACTGTCTCCCGCAAGCTAAGCCCGCCATGTCCCTTCAGATTCCTGCCAGTAGTCAAGAGGATGCCTCAGGATGAATTGAAGCAGCCCAGAGGTGCAGCTCGGCCATCAGTGCAGCTCCCTGAGTATGCCCTGCAGCCCTCACGAACGGTATGCCCCAGGACTTTGCCAGCCTTGCGTCACATTTTGGACTCTGGGCTGGGGCAGAAGAGGCAGCAAGAGCTGCCCACCACTCCAGCCCTCCTGCCCTGCTCAAGCTGGAGGAGGTTTAATGCGGCATGTGTTGTGTGTGCATGGCATGCAGGAAATGAGCTCCCTGCACGCTGAGAGGGCTGATCAGCAGCTTCAGCTGCTGATGGGATTCAAGCGTCAGGAAGTGGAAGCAGAAGTGTGGCGCAAATACCATGCCAGCAGAACGGGGCAGAGCATGGAGGCAGGCAAGGTATGGCATGCAATTCACTTCACAGCCCCAGGAAGAACAGCATTTTCCTTCCCCACTCCCCGAGGACGGAAGCTCTCCTGGCACAGCAGCATGACCGCAGTGCTGTGGCAAATTGCCCAGGCAGGGCTCTAATGTGTGCAGGTGGCCGTGGGACAGGTGATCCGTTTCACTCCCGTACCCCTCTGTAAGGGATCAGCACCCCTGCCTTGAAGATTAAGCCACGCCTGGGGAGTCACACGCCTTGCCTGAAGCCTTGGGATCTGTCCCAGCTATTGGTGGCAGTGCATAACGGAGCCTCTTCTGCTTTTGCAGAGTCCCTGCCGCTACGTGTTTGAGGATCCCTATTGCCCTCCCCACCTCCTGCGAAAGGCTTATGATGAGAAGCTGAAGGAGAGGCTACTGGAGAAGGAGGTGCTGCAGGAGGAGAGGTGCCAAAGCGCTGCAAGGCGGACGGCATCCAAGGAGCAGGCAGAGCTGCACCTCCTGGGGAGAGCATGGGGAGGGTAAGTGTGTGCTGGCTCTGCAGAGGCCAGGGAATGCCTTTTGTGGCTCCCACCACTGGAGATGTCCAGGCTCAAGATGAAAGGCTGCCTTAGCTGACGGGGCTTTTCTGTCCCAAAGCAGGCAGTCTTTGCTTGCCCTGCCCATGCAGGACTTCGTAGGCACCCAGCCCCCAGCTGTGATGCCTGCACTGTCCTGGGTATGGCCCTGCCTGGCTTCAGCCCTGGCTGATCTGCATCTTCTCACTGGAGATGGGTTGGGGCACGGGGTCCCACAGGATGCCACACTGAGCAATGGACTGGCCTCAGCAGCTCCTCCAAGAGCTACTGGCTGAGTCAGGCTCTGGGGGTGTTGTGGTCTTTTTTTCCCGGGCCAGGAAGCTGAGGCCCATTCTCCTGTGTCCTTTAGCAAGCAGGAGAAGAGGAGGCTCTTGGAGCGCCAGTGGAAGGCCCAGGGGCTGCCAACCATACCAAGAAGCTGCGAGCTTCCATGGCGTACCACGGAGGAACCAGCAGCAGGGACTTTAGTCATCACGGCATTCAACGCTGTCAGCAGGAGACCTTCTCGCAAAGGGGAATGTGCCAAATAAAGGCTGCTGGTGCTGGTGCCTGTGCCTGGCCAGAGTGACCGTGCTGCTCCCTGCACTGCCTGATTGAATTTCTTTGAGAAGTACTGAAATACCTGACTTTGGGGTGACATGAGACTATATCTGTCATAGGCATCGCAAGGCCTTGCGGAAACTCTAGTTCTCCCTCACCCACATCCCACACTGCATAAAACTACATCAGCACTGGAAGACCAGGACTAAGTTTTTTCCACCCAAAATGGAATATTCAGTTCTTTTTTTCCACCCAAAATGGAATATTTAGTTGTTTTCTCCTGAATGTTTTCTTGCTGCAACAGAATCCCTTTTCCTCCAGATGAAGAATATTTCTGAATAAACAACAGTGGAGGATGGTGCGGTGTAGTGGTCAGGTAAAGACACCAGGAGAAGGGTCAGAAAGCAGCACCCAGAGACCGCGTCAGGGACCTGGGAATTTATTTCCTCTTTCTCCAATATAAAGCATTGCTGGCACCTTGCTAGTGCCGCCAGTGGGGTGGCCTCTTGCAGGGATGGGCAGAGTCCTATTTCCCTGGCACAGGCTCTGAGTGCTGCTTTCTCCCGCTTCTCCTGGTGTATTTCCTGGACCCCACGCCCCACTGATCCCAGGTTGGGTCCCGTTTGGACCTGTGATGAAACCAGCATCCCTTCCTTCCCACCGCAGACTGCAGGTGAATAGAAAAGAGCAGGTCTGTGAAGCTTGAAGAGTCACCCCAAAATTACAGACCCACAGGGACTCTTGAAACACCCTGCTTCTGAGGATGCTTCTTCCGTTTTTTCCATCTGAGCCACAACCAGCAACTTATGTCTAGAGCAGCAGTCACAACGGGGGCAGAAACTCAGAAATCACTGGCATCACCAGACAGTGGGATAAACCACCCCCTCGTTTCAGGCAGTAGGGCATCGCTCTTAATTTCTTCCAAAGAGCACTCCGGCTCACAGCAGGTGCCTTTGCTAAACCATCGCTGCCTCGGTCATGATCAGCTACTTAGTGGAAAAAATGAGTATGGGTACCAAAGTGCAGCACCCTACAGCTCTCATTTCCCAGGTAAACACCAAAGCTTGCTGGCAAAACAGCAAGCAAAGACTTTTCCAGGACAAAATGCAAACCTCTGCATTTCATAAGCAGTGTATTTCAGGTCGGGGGGGAGTGGGAGAAGCAGAAAAGTTCTGGCAACAGCAGAATAGTCCAAAGAATATTAAGCTGTGAATAGTCTTCATTTGTAGAAAGTCAGAATTAAAAGTTATTTTCAGCACAAAACGTCTCATCCGTCTAAAATAGGGTTTTTTCCCTAAGATTTCTCTTATAAGCCGTGTTGCTGCTAGGGCAGTACACCCTAAATAGGCCCGCACTTACATTTTGCAAGATCAGGATCTTGGGAAGTGATTTCTGCATGCCCGTGCTTTTCTCTTGGTTGAACAGCAGAGGGAAGCACGAGGCCCACGATGTGAGGAACATGTCCTTCACTTGTCCTTGAGAAACCACAGTGGAAACAGAGCAAAGATGAGTTTAGCAAGGACAGAACACTCTTGCAGCATACCATGCAAAGCCCATGAATATGGGTGGCAAAATCAAACCCGTGAGGCAGAACATACCATATAAATGTATAGCAGATTTGAATCACTGGCAGTTAGTAAGGATGTTGGGGTTCGGTTGGCGGGGTGGGGGTCTTATGTGATGGTTTAATTGCACGTTGCGTGACTGATGTGACACCATAAGAGAATACCTGGTAGAGGAGTTTCACTCTGCAGTAATTTCTTCCTATACTCATGTGCTGTTAGCATTTCCTCATGTCTTACTGCTGAGGAAACTGGTAAGCACAAGTTAACCTGAACCCACCTATACAAAGCAAATGAACAGAGATTTTTATACCCAGCAACCCAGTAAATGACCTCAGCTATCTGCAGATACCACTAGGAGGATGCAGGAGGAGGAATGCTTGGGCAGTTTTCCACTCCTCATACTGAAAGGAAAGCTTATGCTTGCAACAGTGATACAGAGGTTTTGGAAAATA